CCCCCCCCCCTCCGGTACGCTACTGCTCAGTCGGCTCTTTTTTTTAGTTTTTCGGAGTTCCTCCGCTCGTTCCTTCAGTCGCCACGTCCCCCGTTCAGCCCCAACAATCAGAGAGCGGCCAAGGCTCATCGTGACCGATAAATGTCCACGATAAACCCGTGCGACCACTCGAGCGTAAGCAACGTGGCCCGTCAAGTCGGTATGCTAGCATGCAGCTAACTGGCCAACGGGGATGAGTGAGCAGTTGGTGGGTCGACCGACAGACCAAGTGGTCGCATCATGCAGAACGTGTTTGTGCTCCGTACAATATTATCTGTTCGAACGCATTCGTGCGTCCGCAGCTACTTCCGTTTGTCGGTCCATTTGAGTCTACATGCTTTGCCCGGACGCTACGAGCTTTGTTGCAGTTTTCGCGAGTACCTACAAGCGGCGTCGTCGTCGTCGTCGGGTAGTATCAACCAACATGTGGGGGGGTTTCGGGCGCACGACGCGACGGTGAATTCGGCACGTCACTGTTGGCTACAGCCTCGGACAAGAGCATCCACTCCCGGGAGCGTTTGTAATTAGGCTCTGGCCGCGGAGAACAATAATTGCCGCGCGCCGTAGCGGCGCTTCCAATACGGCCTGGTGATCCTAAACGACGACAACGACGACGATGACGGCAGCGGTAGCGGCGACGTCAATTTACCGAGCGAGTAAGCAGACGAGCAAGCAGACCGACCATCGGACAGCGAGATGCGGCTCCGTATCGTCTGGGATTGCGTCGTCGTCGACGGGGTCCTGGCGTGTACATATAAGTGGCTTAGCAGACGGAGCTGAGCACTCACGACGAGCGATCGCTGATATATATGCATGCGTGGCCGTCCGAAGAAACGCGTCCACCATAATGAGCGGGGAGTCCGTGCGCACGTAAATCCACAGCTGACTTTTATGTCAGCCCGTCGGTGCGCGGATCAGCGAGACTTTTGCGTCCGACCGCCACTGAGGGATGAGCCGATTTGAACGTGATGATTCTATTCCAAACAAATCGTGCGATATACGTGAGCCGTCATCCCTCAATGGTCGTCACCGCCTCAATGGCCACTCCGACATACGGTCGTCATGAATAGGTGATAACTACCGCGGATCGGGAAGTGCTCTCGATGGGCTCGAACGCGAGTTGATTATGAATATAATCATGAATGACCCTCGTGGTCATCATAGCTCTCGAATGACGATGGCTTCCGTGAAGCCCAGATGAGACAAATGAAGATTAACGCTCGGAAGGCTTTCATCATCGTTCTGCAGCAGCGGGCGTAATTTGGGCTTAGGAGAGGACATTCACTGCTAACGAGTAAACGCCTAATGACAATTGAATATTAATTGTAGACGTCGTTCGAGCTTCCTGAACACGGAGGAATCATAGTCGTGCCCTGCGGCGTCTTCCGTCCACTCATCGCCTCGATATCAATTGGCGTAGAGCGGGTTATTCGCGGGGGAGAGGGGCGGCGGTCCTGCTGACATTGTCGGGGTGCCCACTGATGGTCTCAGGTTGCACTTGCGTATCGTTTGGCCGAGAAGTCTCTGTCAGGAATTTCTCTTCCCTGGACCTCTCGCAAGTTGGCCCGATTCGGGTAGCTCGATGGTCTGAGCTCAATGGACACCACATGCGGATTCGCATCTACCTCATTGACGCTGTCGATCATGATTACGTCTTTTTTCGCTGCGAAACATGGTTGGAACACTCTTCAATCGCGGCGTGGGAGTCAATGATCATTTCCCTCATTGTTCCATTCACCGTTGCGAAAATTGGCGCTCCTTCTCTGGCGTTGTAGCTGGCAGGGAGTCGAGATCCCGGCTCCAGAGCAGGAGCCGGTTCAAAGATCGAGCCTTCTCGCTTGGAGCCTTTCCCGGCGAATTTCACGCTTGCACTCCCTAAAACTTTCCTCTCTCGCGTCATCCCAGGCGTTGGTTGCGAAACTCTTCTCTTGCGTATCTTCAATACCTGGAGGTGTCCTGAGTCTCGATGATCCGACAAGACTTATGAATCAAACTCATAGGTGCTTCTCCCTTTACAGGAAATGAAAGGGAACTGGAGTAATTCACCCGCAGGATCAACGAAACCGGACACCAATAGTAAGTTTCTCCGTGTAGAATAGCTAGAAGATCGCTCAAATCTGAAACCTCGGAATCCTATCCAATCTACATATGTACATCAGTACGTCGCTCACATTAGGCCGAATCGATGCCCATTGTGAGAGTGAGCTGGCCAGCGATAGTAGATCTCACATCTTACTCTGTGAGCAGGCCACCTTTGCTGCCTGTTGACTGTTTCCTTTATTTGTCGTTGTCAACGACCACTGCAAGTAGCTTTTCCGCTTCATTACTCATCTGATCCGTTTACCCGATCCGTTCCAGAGCACTTCCACATCTTCGTTGGAGACCTGAGTTCAGACGTCGAAACGCAGCAGTTGAGAGAAGCGTTCACACCATTTGGAGAAATATCGTAAGTTGTTCTAACGTCTTGTTCTACTCTCTTTCCTCTCCCTTGCTTTTATTTTACGACTCGTTACGGCAGCTCCACTCCAGAGAGCTCGCCCGCGCTCGTGAGTTTCGAGCATGCCGCTTGATCGCCACTCGGGAGGTGGATACCATTTGTACGTTCACTCGAGAGTGGTAGCAAACGCACCAATATAACGCGCCTGCTCGGCAAAGTAACAGCGCACCGACTGGCTGGCTGGCTAGCTGGTCGGTCAGACGGTTGGTTGATCGGTCGGTGGGTCGGACGGTCCATCCATCGGTCTGCCGTCCCGGTCGGCGTATATACTTCAAGGTACATATGGCCGGGGGAGAACTATGAAGCGATACCGGGACAGCAATACACACACGCACACATGGTATAACGTCAAACTACTCAGCTTCCTTGGACGCTCCTCCGTTCGATTGCTGTGCCGTTGACGCCCCGTCCTGCACTCCCCGAGCAGTTTACAAGCGACTGGCTCGGCCGGGCCTTATTGAGAGAGCTACCAATGGACCGGCACACGACTCGCCTTGAGTAGTTTTTTCCTTCCGTGCTGCTTTATCAGTGCACGCATCTTCTCACGCACGCACGGACGGACGCGTGCATGGCCGCATGCATCGCTGAAGCGAGTCCGCCATGAACAGGTCATCCTAGACGGGGCTCTGACATAAACTGAAACAAAGCGGATAAAAGCTTGTACCTGAGTGTAGCATTCTCTAACGCACGCAACTGCCCGCGTCGAGTCCCGCCGTTGTCCGCGCGTGGTAAACCTCTGAACCCATTGCAGTTCTCAATCTCGACCGGAGTTTTCGTGACTACTTGGAATAGATGAAAAAAATCGCGAGCTATTTGACTCCGTCTGCAATTCAGTCGGGTGATCGGCTTGTAGCAGCGCTTTTTTCCTACCGCGGGGGACCGCAGCGAGAGATCATCTCTGTTGTAGACCTCTACCAATGAAACCCCGAACACTTCCCGTAGCAATTTGGCTCCCGTCCGGCATGTTACGTGGGGATGTCTCTCCCCATCTTTTATATTTATGTTCCGAGAATCCGATGCTCAGCGAATGGCACTGTAGCCTGTTTCTTTGCTCATGTTGATCCGGTTTCGACTCCACTTGGATTGAGGAAGGACTCCGAAAGGATCGAAACCCCGATTCTAGAAGGTCACCTCTGTGGATTGACCAGTGAAGTAACAACAGGCGACAGGTATCCGGCTGCCGCAGGATAGGAGGAACACTGGTGCCCTAGCAAGTTACAAGTTCTTCTTAGCATAACCCGCTTCTTCCCCGTATCTGGTCGACCGAATGGAGCCTCGATTATCTTGCCCGCCAGAAGTGCCCAGGCTGGATATTCCTTTCCAGCATGATATCTGCGCTTGCGGATCCGCCCAGTACCAGAATGGATCATTTTTGCTCGAGAGAGCCTCCTGGTAATTCGTCACAAGGAACCACGCATATTTTACTATGACAACTTTCCGCGCCAAATGCCTCGTCTCTGAGAGTATCCACGATCAAGTTTTTGACCAATTTTCCGCGATTCGTAAGCCTGCCTTCTACAATAAAGGAACACACTCCATAATCGCACCATTCATCAAATGAATACCCACGACGGTACAGTGAGCCTACGAGATGGGAGCCATCGACGATTTGCGCGCGGACCTACGACGTGATGCCGGAGCAACTTCGATCGTCTCGCGAACTGGACAACTTGATTCCATCCGATGATATCGGGTTACACAGGGGATCCCGCTCCCTATTGACGAGTTCTATTCTCGTTTCGGATTCGGGTATTCTCGCAGACCTGAGCCGCAACCCGCTGGGCTCTATTCAATCGTCGCAGCGGCGGCCTGATCTCTTGCTCTTCGCGTATAACCTCAGGCTACGGAGGCACGAAATTTCGACACACGATTCCCATAAGGTCTCGCTCTTTCGCTCGAGGCATTGGGAAACTTTAGGGTAACGTCCTCCTGGCCGAAATGTTTAATCAGAAGGCAGCTCCTCGCGGGTCGTCGCTCTCCGTCTCTCTGATCGCTGGGGGGTCGCACGTTCTGGGAACGCTCCCAGTCTGGGAAATCGCAACTCCAATTACTAGGGTTTTTCGGAAATGTATTTACCATGAGCTCTAACTCAGTAATGCTGTTCTCGAGAGATGCTCCGCAGCGACGGGCGTTCGTAGCGCGCTCAAACTCGTGAACAGGTAATTGTCCCGTGCAAGTGTTCAGAACGATGTCTCGCTGGATGTTCGTTAGAGTAATTCCTCGATGCTGAAACTTGAACGTTCTGAACCCAATTCATTATTATCGGAGCATATTCACGCGCGGGAGCTATTAAAATTTCGAGGGTTGCGATTAAAAGTCCGGCCCGCGGAACGTGGGAATTAAAACATACTCCACGCTCCTGCGAGCCTTCTTAGAACGCACAAACAAATGGTTCAGGGAGAACTCGATTTCTCCAAGGGCATGGCTCTCTCGAAAGTTTGCGCAAGTCCTTAGACTGGAGACGAGTTGGACCCATTGCTGCTACGCCTCGGTCCGGAAGGCAAGCTCCGAGCCTCCCGTAGCGCTCCATCCCGACGAAGTCAGCGGCTGACCGGCGGCGAATTACCAGGTCGAAATCAGCGGTGATGAGCGATGAGAACGACACCAATGCTTCCCTATGATACGACGTCTTTTCCTTCCAGGGACTGCCGAGTTGTTCGCGACCCTCAGACGCAGAAATCAAAGGGATATGGATTTGTCTCTTTCCTCAGAAAGCAGGTGAGTCACTGGTCCTGAGAGCGAATAGATACACGCCGGAACATTTTTCCATAGCAGCTCAGTATAGCTTTCCTTGCGTGCCGGAATTCGAATGACGGAATTCGCAAAATGTTCCGAAATACGATTACGCATTCGGATCGCACAAGCCCCCAGAACCTGGAAAGCGAAGCTCCGGTCGAATAAAATGCCTGGCTCGACGAAGCTCCACGGACATTCTCGCTCAAATATCTCCCCGTTGATGAAAGAAAAGTCTTATCTGTCGCAAACTCGTCATTCACTTCTCTCAGATCTATTCGGAATAGGTAGAATCAATGAGAATTCCGTCGATTTCGATTGACGCAGCGCTCCCAGGGATAGAAGGACTCATATAGAATTCCTCCGTGATCCCTTCGCCCCTGCCGCGATCACTAAAAACTGTTCCATCGACCCACATGAAGAGTTTTGCCTTCCAAAGTCACTATCTGAACTTGCGGAGCGGCAATGCTGAACGATTTCTGCGGGGAAGGATTTCCTTCCTGAGGAGCTCTTGGGTCGTTCAGCATGTTAGTCAGAACGAGTCTCGATCGTATTGGCCGCGCGGACCTCTCTCTCCTGCATTCGGCACGTGCACGACGCCTAAACACATTATTCACCGCGTATCCGTTCCGTCCTCGCTCTGAAAGATCTCGGACCCTTCAACGCAAACTCGATTGACTTAGAGAGAAGAGGAAGACATTCAATTTTCCGCGTCGGAAACACGAGCAAATGCATCTTGAGAAACTTCGGGGTCGGTCAATCGGTTGCTTCCTCGCCGGCTCGCTATGCGGCCGGTCAGTCGGCAGCGGGCCACTCGTCTCTGTGAGTATCATCTTGATGTTGAGGACGATGCTGAAGCGATGGTCTTGATGACTGCGCGCCGCAGCGGCTGCCGTCGTGATGACTTGCAATGTAAATGCGCTCTCCCGTGGGCCGCCGCCGCCGCTCGAGCGACCCGAGTGCCCGTCTGACCCGGAGGGAGGGACGGTCGACCGTATGGACGGTCTTACGAGCATTCGAATACCAGCAGACACTCAGCATGGACGGACGGGCGGACGCATGCCCGTCTATGACTCTATTTCGCGTCGAAACCCACTTCCTTCCCGCGACCGCGCGCCGTTGCCTCTTTGGGCATCGGTGCCCAAGAGTTTGTATTGCGATGGCTCAAAGGACGGGGCAGAACGGGCCTGGGATCAGACAACTCCATGTTCTCATACTCACGGCGGAGGAAAAAGCTGTAATTGGAATAATCCAGATGAAAGTGCCTTACTCCCGGGACCTCTTTAGAGTCTGATGAGACCGACGGCCCGCCTGCCCGCCTGACCGACCGTCCGAGCCACCAAGCGAGCGACCCTCCGCCCGCCCGTTTGTCCGTGTGCCAGTGGGTTGCTCGCTCACTCGCCGGCTCACTACTCAATCGCTCGGCCAGGACCTAAGTCTGTTTGTCTCACTCAGTCAGTGAGCCGCCAGTCCGCGTAAGTGAATGAATGAGTGAGAGAGTGAGTGGATGAGCAAGTGAGCGAGCGAGTGTTCAACTGCATCTACGCTCTATTTGGTCAAACTCCTTTAGTTTAATGGACGGACGTGTACGACACGACTGCGCCGCTCCGACCGATCCTTTCGTTCGGAGCAAAGTTTTTCATTCGCTTTCGATAGACCGGGTCCGCAATTTCCTTGCGTCTCCGCAGAGAGCAAGTCGTTCCCTCGCGTCTTGCCGCCTGATCCTCTTGGACAGGATACATCTCCAACAATGAATTCTCTTTCCGCGGTCGATCCGTGGCGCCGGTAACGCCCTCGGGATCCGAGTTTTTCGAGCTAAGATCAAACAAAGTTCCGAGAGAGCAGCCGAGATGTTTGGGAGAAATGTTCCAATTCGTTTAGATCGAGTCAAGTTGTTCGGGGCCTGGAGTTTCGATCCGATGCGAAGCGAAGCGTAGCTCCCACCAGAGAACTTGAAGCGCGGTGGTATCGTTGATGGAATTCGCCTCGAGGGTCTTTGTGGGCATCTGGAAATTGTCACTTGACATTCCGAACGACGGAACATCAGAAGCACCCGCGTGACTCTACGCAGCTTGGTCGACTGTACGGGGGAGAGACGACGGCAACGGGAGCGCTCAACGAACAAACTCTCAAGAAGTCTTCTTCTAGGTGTGTTTTTCTTTTTAACGCGCTCCGAGTCTGTAAGTCTTCGGCCGACTCGTTCGTTCGTTCATTCGTCCGTGCGGGGCTAAGCATGGCGACAACGACTAGCAACCTCGACGACGCGGCAACGAAGACAGCGCACTAAAAACTTTTAAGATCTTCCGCTTTCGTCGGCGTCTCTTGCTCGCTCGTTGTTCCCCCCTCTTCCCGAAAGTCGCTTTATCTTTTTCCTTCCGTACGTTATCCGCATTCTTCGGCTCTGCCTTCGTTCCTATTGTGCGTCTACTTCTTTTTGCGCCCTGCTCCCACCTCCCCATCCCCCTCCCCATCCTCCGTAAGTAAGGTGAGCAGAGGCTCAGTCAGCGGAGGGAATAGCCAAGCCGTCGGGGAATGAGCGAGTGTAAATTACTCTGTATCTTCTTATCATTGTGAAAATACTCCCTTTATGAAATTCCTGGGAAACAGAAGGGACTTGGCATGGAAGCTTCCGCCGACGAAAGGATAGGCGGAAGACGTTTTCGCGTCGATGCCAGGGATCCTCACACCTAGTCCAGCCCACTCTCGCTTTCGGCCGTCAGACCCGCATTAATTCAATCTCTGTATATTCAAAGGGGCTCGAGGGTGAGCTTACTCACCCTGAACTTCTCAAGTGACGGCGACGATCACGGGAGAGTACGAGTTGGCGTTCATGAGACCCTGCGAATTTGAGTCAGAAAAGGACATCAGGATACAGGGGGAATCCCCCGAATGAAGTTCGCAGCTTGATTATCGTTGAGGGTTGCCTAGTGATTGACCCGCTAATGCCCCCACATTCTCTGTTCCTCCAACGATCATAGCCGAGTTGAATGGGGTATTTTTAAAAAGGAAGAACATCGGGAGTCTGCGAGCGTGGAACTCCTCGGATGTCAGCTCATTTTTGACGGACGCAGCACCTAAACCCCTCGTATGTCCCGTTCCATCCTTTTACTACCGTGCACGAACAAAGCTACGGAAACGTAAACCGGATGCCGCGCGAATCGTAAATCCCTCGGAATTCGCTTCCGTGTCTATTCTTTACCCTTTTTCCTCGCTCTCAGGCATATTCGAGTATTCACCGACCCGCAGGCGAGCAGACTAGCTAGGTTCCCGGGAGGACTGGACGCATCTCAGCGTCGGAATTATGGCAATTATGATGAACAACGCCGAGAAGATCATTTTCCGAGCAGGAAGAGAATTGCAGCTCGATTTTCCCCCGGATCCTTCAGACGACCCCTGTTCCGGAATCCGGACCAAAGGAACATGTCAGATTGCTCGGAGCGTGAAGATTGGCAAAAAGGCTCGAGGAGCAACAAGGGAGTAACGAGCGAGACTCCGTTCAGGCATTTGTTCCTTTTTCCCGAGCGAGATTCAGGCACGCTTCCCAATGCCGGTGCGCAAACTTTGCGGCGGGACAGACGAGCGAGCGCGCGCGTGCTTTCGATCCTTGTCGAAGGGGCATTGCCTCCGTTTACTTGCCCGCAGCTGAACGCTCAGAGGTTTTCGGAGGGGAGAAACTGCATGTTGGGAAAAAATAAAAGGCCACAAGAAGGGGTCAGGCGGCGCCTAATCGAGCTGCGGTGGAGGCTTCCGCCGCCGCTACAGCCCTCTATGCAGCCACTACGCTGACGCCGCCAACACCACCGTCACCACGAGAAAAGAACGATTCTCAATAAATCGTTTCCCAATTGTCGCATTATCGCCAACCAACGATGACTTTCACCCCGCGGCGACGACCGGAAAAGAGAGCAGCAATTCAAAATCACAGGCGAGCTTTTAAACTCCCTCGCCCCCTCCCGGGTCGCTCGGCTAGCTCGCCGGCCGGCTTGCCCGTCCCTCTCGCCCGCCCCTCTCCCCTTCGCCTGCCCGTCGTGGCTTTCCTTCTCGCTCTCGCGAGCCGCCCCTACCCCTTTGTGGTTTTTCCTCAATGAAGGGAGAGAATACGGGAGCAGCAGTCGAAGATGAAGAGAGGCATCGCCTGGGGGTTTCTTCGGGGAAGGCTTAGACGAGGTTATTCATTTTAATGTACTGCCGAGATTCTCATTTTTCCCTCTTCTCCTCTCGAATTTGGCTCGAAATCCCTAAGCCTTGCAGCCCATGGCATAAAGCGTAGTCGCACGCGCATCCCCCGTGGCCGCCGTCATCGCCGCCGCCGACGACGGGTACGGGGGCAAGACAGGCCGGCGCGGCGGTCGGCCGAGTATAGAAACAGCCGCGGCGAGCAGAATTGTTCAATGTTCATCGAAAACGGCTGCGGATCTTCTCATCGCTCATGGCTATGAAACAGCGCGTTGCGGCCGGCCGCTCGCATAGATGGTTCGCCTGCGACCGTGCGGGCCGCTCGGAGGTCTGGCGTGAGCCGGAACCGATGAAAAGACGTTCATTTCTTTATCCTGCTGCGGTTTTGTTCGTGTTGTGTGTAATGTTTCCGCCAGCTCCCCACATGGCCAACCGCTCGCCAAGAACCCGCTTGTTCTGCTCAGCGGCGGCAGGGGCGGGGGAGGCGGTTGTCGTCCGCGCTCGTTTGCTATTGGCCCGTCAAGCTTCACGTTCCTGCCTTGAGGATAATCATTGTCGTAGGTTTTCACCGAGCAAGAAAAGAGGGAACGAGGAAGAGGTCGGGCAAAATCAACCGTCGGCAAAAGTAGTGCGCGGGAAACGCCGCCGCTGCCTCGCGGAACGAGGGCAGAAGATGTGAGCTGAAGGCGTGATGAGCAACCGGCAGGAGAAAGAAAGAATCGTTGCTCGCAGCGTACTTCGCCCACCAGTCTCGTTCCCACCATACTTTCCTGCTGCACGTCTTCTCCCTGCACGTAACCCCCATGTCGAGCGCTTGCGCTCTTTCCATCCTCACACTGGAAGCTCCCGCTGGCGGTGCCGACGCGGACCCACCCGCCCATCTCTGTGGCGCCACACACGGAAAGGAAAACTTTTTAATGAATCACCACCTTCTTCTCTGAGTCCACCTTTTTTTCCCCTGCTTTCTGGGAGCAACGCAGAGGAAAAAAACTCTTCGTAGCCTTCGTTGTTGATCCTCCTCGTTCTTTCTTCGTGTATAGTCCATTGTTCGTACCTTCTCGTGCATCCGCAGCTATTTTCCGCCCTATTCTTCAACAATTGAGACCCTCGACAGATGTTCGAGGGAGCGACTCCATACTTGTGCGTCAGAGGATCTCCGTCGCATTACCTACCTTCACAAGGGGATTCATAAGTTGGGGGCTTACAACTACATCGTTCTAGCTCCCAGTAGCGGATGGAGCTGTGGTGCCGTGAGCCGAACGACCGAATTTTTGAAGCTTCCTCTCGGTCTTTTTCAGGATGCTGAAACGGCGATCAACGCAATGAACGGCCAATGGCTGGGTGGACGCGTGATCCGAACTAACTGGGCCACTCGAAGGCCTGCTAGCAATGCCAACAATCAACAAGAAGGTTCCCAGGGCAACTCGACACCCAAGTACACTCCCCTCACTTTTGATGAAGTGTACAACCAAGCCAGTCCCACAAACTGCACTGTATACTGCGGAGGTGAGTGTCGCTCGTTATCCTTTACTTCCTCATCTTGAGCTTCCGACATCCCGTCCGGCCGTATTTTGTTCGTCAGACCATTGTCTCGAGGTCACTCTGCTGCTCAGCTCTGTTCTTTGAAAGGAAGATCTGATTTTTCTCTGAATTTCCCCCTGATGCCAATCCCTTTATTCCCTCCGACTCCACTGAATCCGATACTCGTTCCCGCATCGCCATGGTCAGGTCTTTCTTCCTTTCTCCTGCTCACTCTTTTTCTCCTCATACACTAAGGGAATAATTACCTACTATTTTCCTCTCTGGCTTTTCGCAACTTCTGCCGAATCCCATCGTTTCCGTCTGAATATTTTTCCTCTCTATCTCTCGGCGATAACATACCATCTTCTCCTCCCCTGCTTACGGGCTCAACGTTCTCCATTCCTCCCCGGCTCCATCGTCCCTCATGCTCCTTCTTCCCTCTCCCCCGACCTCGATTCTCCATACCTCTAAAGATTGATAATCATCTATTTCCTCACATTGTACCGGAATGCAACAGGTGAACTAAATGCTCTTTCCTCTCGCGTTTCTTCGAAGGTCTTGGTCAAGGGTTGAGCGAGGAGCTCATCCAGAAGACGTTCAGTTCATACGGCATCATTCAAGAGATTCGCGTTTTTAAAGACAAAGGTTACGCTTTTGTGCGATTCGCTACGAAAGAATCGGCGACGCACGCCATCGTTGCCGTGCACAATACCGATGTTAACGGACAGATCGTCAAATGCTCCTGGGGCAAGGAGTCGAGCGACCCCAATAACCAACAGGTCCAGCATGTAAGTAGTCGTCTCCGAGGACCTCTTCACTCTTCCCATCCTTCCCGTTGTTACTCGGGAGCCCAACAGCCACCGTCGTACAAACTCTTCCGAGTGCGCGCGGGCCGTCGGTCAGGTGTTCGTTGGTGTTTTTTCCTTTCCTCTCACTTGGATGCTGATCATGTCGCGTCCATTTGTTGCCGGGCTCTCTCCCTCACTATTTCGCTCGATCGTTCGCTCGCTCGTTTCTCTCTCCTCCCCTGTGTCTGCGCTCTGGCTGGTTGGCAATCTATATATCTATTCTTTTCCGGGGTGGGTTTTTCCTCGTTGTTCGTTCGTGCGACTTCTCCCTCCAGCCAGAAAGGTCCCTAATCAGGGGAAGATGACCCCAAACTCCACACCCGGTCCCCCGATGTTCAAGCCAGCTTTCCCCGAAGATCTCTCATTACCTCCCTCACTCTGCCTCACTGACTTCTGAGATCCAGTGAAGCTTGTCTGCCGCCGACCGCAGGCACGACCGATACCTAAACATGAACTAAGGAATGTCTTATCGTCACATTGCAGACCATCGCCGCAGCCCAAATCCCATACCACCAGTATCAGCAGATGAACTACTGGTATCCGCAGAATTACGCACAGCCCAGCCAGTTTGTCCAGGGCACCACGCCGGCAGCCGCGGTGCAGTACCAGTACGGACAGTACTTTGGTAACGGATTTGGGTAAGAGCAAAAATTCATATTCGTACCTTGAACTCCGGAGAGCCTGCGAGGAGGGATTCGCATGGGGCCGGACCACCCACGCTGATGGTCGTGCGACTGCTGGAAGTCTAAGACATTTAGGCGGATTGCCGAGCTGTCGCCTGTACGCTCGGTACCAATTTTCACTCGCAGGACGCAGTCGTTCATTTCTCGGTACCACCGTTCTCTGTTTCGAATAAACTATAGTCTAAGGAAGTCAGGCAACGACAATGGATAAAACACTAGCCGGAAAAACATGGCAGCGAGTCGTCGTCGTGAATACTAACGTGCTGCCCTCCACCTATCAGTCAATCAGTCAGTCTGTCATTCGATCAGCCAGTCAGTCAGTCTCTAAGTCAGTTAGTCAGAAAAGTGAAAGCCGCTCTCGTTGTTACCGTTTCCGAAGCCACGGCCGCCACAGCCGTCGGTCGTGGCTTCCGTCATTGTCGCCGCCGACGAATACGGTCGGCCGATCTGACTGTACGTCTGCGGTGAATCGTTCATTGCTGTTTGAGACGGACCAATGGAAGTTTTTCCGCCTCGACTTCCGTTTCTCGTTGCATCGGGAGACGGATTGAAGTCAGTTTCGTTTCGCCAGCGAAAGCGTCCACCGGTCTTCCGCGGAGGGAAACCCGATTCCTGAGGCTTCGGACGAGCGACCGAAGTCTGGTTCCGCGTATTGCTACGAGCCGTTCCCATGTTGCGATACGGCAATGAAATATTTCCACGGCTCGTCTACCGGAATGTCTATCCCAACGCTCCGTTTTAAAAGGATCTCCCTCAATTGATTTGCGATTCTATCAGGGAAATGAAAGTACGGACGAAGCAGAGCTCCCTTCGCCCCCAGCCAAATTCGGGATAATTGTCTGAATACCCACTCCGGGCCGAGCGTGAGGATGATGGGAAACTCGGATATTAGTTCGGTATGCAGATTCGCAACGTCGGAGTTTGCGGAGGCATAGTGCCTATTTTTGAGAAGAATCGAATCGAATGTATTCTATTGAGAACCGATGAGGGGAACGCTCTTCAAACAGAGCTTGCTCACCTGAGGATCCGCACAACTCGGAGCACGCAACTACGGGAGAACGTTATGTGGACGCTCCTGCTGCGCAAAGTCCTCTGCGACCGCGAGTGCGTGTTCCAAACAAAGGATGAATTCCTCCGGGGATTCCTCCCGGCTACGCAGCCGTTGCGATTCGGCAGGTCACCGCCTCCCTCGAGCGGGCGCTGCCGCCTTTTTCTCGTTTTCCTTTTAGTCCGACGTCGAACCCGTATTCCTTCTCTTCACCTCTCAATCGGCCTGCCGCTTGCTGAAAACGCACGAGCGACCTACTCTGTTCCCCATCTATAGACAGACCTCCATCCGGAGACCCCGTCCCCCGCTCCTCTCCGTCTGCCCAGAGGACCCGTCCGCAACGCAATAGCGAAAGGCTCCGAAGCGCGTCGTCTGATGCTCATTTGAGCGAGCGGAAGCCTCGCCGGAACTCCGACGGGAAGTGATCTTTTTTAGCGCTTTTCACTCATCCGGACTCTGCAGAAAGGCTGAGTCAGAGGAGTAAAAATGCGGAAGAAAAAATTCCGGCGTGGCCGAGAAGTCAACTCGGAGGCTGACAGGCGGTCAGATGAACGGCTTGACGCTCGGAGACCGATGTCAAGTTTAGGTCTCGAAGCTCATGCTCCGCGGAGCGAATGCAGCGCGTGAGTGCATTCTCGCTGCAACCGCGAGTCGGTTTCGCTTCGTCGGTTCCTTGGTCTGTTGATTGGTCGGTCGGCTGGCCGACCACTCGGTGCATTAACTGCTGTGTTCCGCGTTGTTATTCATTGTTCTTGACGAGAGCAGACGCAGAGCATCCTTCCAAGAACGGCGCCCGTCCTCGAGATCCCCATGAATATGATTCCTCGCTCGTTCGGGTCGTGGCTTACGATGGTTCATTCTTCATTCAGAAGAACCCGGGTGCTCATATGCTCGGCCGATTGTGAGCGTTTTAATTTCATGCTGTCAATCCTTGAGACCAGAGCGAACGATTTCTGCAAGAGCAGCCCCTTTGAAATGTTTGCCTCTACCCCTCGACTCTCCCCGATGTTTCCCGTTTCTTTGATCTACCGCCCGCGGACATCTTCTGCCTCCCTCTTGATTTCTCTCACTCAGCTCTGCCCCTCTACATGAAGTTCTTCACGTCTTTCCCTCCCCGTCATTGGCAGTCTTCGGCATTACAGAAATAGGGAGCCGAAGAAACAGGGATTGCATTAGAGCTGTTCTCAATCGGCAATCCAATGGAGATTATCGATGCTCGCTCTTCCAGCCCGCATACAGGGAGCTTTACGAGATAGAGAGAAACTTCGTTCTGCCGATAGAGTGCACGCTGCAGGAGGGACGCACGTACCCCATCACACATACTATCAGGGTCACAGCTGAGGAAAACGGGGAGAGATATCGGAATGACAGCGGCAGGGAAAAGAAGCAACTCCCGCCAATCGAGTGTCCGTGGGGTGGGATTCTCTCGGCTCGAGATGATTCGGGGTTTAGTGGGCAACAGTAGTAACTAGCAAGAACAGCAGTAATAGGAGACGGGAGACGACAGGACATCGGACGAGATTAAGCGAGCTAATTGCACGCATTCCTTTCATTTCAGGATGGGTTTGCAAGTGGCCTGGCCAGCAGGACAAGCCAGTAGCCAGAGTGCGCCTCTTGGTCAACAGGCGACCGGCCTCCTGCCCGCGGCGGCCACCTACCCCATGCAGCAGTACCAGACACATCAGTAATTCGCATACAGGAAGTTGGCGGCACGAGGAGCCTAAATCATCAACGATTCCAACGTGGTCTACAACGACGGTGAACTGCCGACGACGTCTTGAGCCTTTTCCACGCGGCGGAATTTTCTGACCTCGCAGTCAGAATCAAACAGGAGGAAGACCAGCCAGACCATTCCACCAATCCCCCACAGATGCGATCGCCCCAACACTCCAGAGGTTGGCACTCGCTGAACCGCGCCGACTCAGGTTGCTTTTCCGTGGAGGAATCTTACGTTCGGAGTCATTCAGGCGGGGAAGGGGCACGAAAATCAATCGACCTGTCATCGAATCAAAACTACTGATCTGTCGAGAAGCGCTCGATAGATCGCTCCGTGATCGCCGCTTGGTAGGTGCACCGGTCTTGTCGGTCTCCCCGACGCTCTCAAAATCTGCACGACATCGAAGCATATGACCCGCAGTAGTTGTCGCCACATAACCCCTACGCCGCCTTCTCGTGCTCCCGCGAACCCATCCCGGGCCCTCCGCGAGTACTTTTGTGAGCTCTCCGATCACCGCTTCCGGCAGCGGAAATCTGCCCGCTCACTCAGAGACCGTCTCTGCAATAGAAGCAGCGATCCTAGAAGAATCCGGAGTTTGATGTCGGAGAACGCTCGCTGATTCAAACGAGAGCCGCATTCCTGCGTCGACCCCTTCGCCTGACGTCGGCTCCACCGTCGTTGTTGCCCGTATGCATCCTCTCAGCATGGACCTCGTCGCCGCTCTCGACAACCGCTAGCAATGAAGCCAATACGAGCCGGATGAACATCGATGATTCCCTCTTCGCGTCCTGCCTACCATCCCCCTCGACGAGAATCAACAACTTTCCGCCCACAACGTTTCGAACCTGTTCGATCTCGAATTCGAACCAACACGAGGAGGATGCGGAGAACAGGGAACCCGAACTCACTGGAGAGGGAGAACCTGCAAGCAACGCCAAACTGAGAAACCTTGTCAAACTTTGATATCTGCTCGTCAAAGGGCGCGTCGACAGACGACCCGGAATGAATTCCCCGATCGTACGGGGAGGCGAAAGAAATTATGGAGCGGGAACAGAGGGAACTCCCACTATATTTTAGTTCTAAGCGAACGATGGGGTTTCTACTCGACGACAATTATTATTATTATTGACCAATGAGTGAAGCATGTCTATATAGATGCAACGCCTGATTGGAAGCTCCACGAGAATTGCGGAATTATGAAGATAAGGGATGTTCATGGGAAACAATGCAAAGAGAAGCGGCATGGCGTTAGGCCGAGACATTTTAGTCAACGAAGGCCGAGACATTTTAGTCAGCGAGCCGGTCGATTCGGGAAACCGTGCTCCCAGATGGGATATGAAGAGACTAATCAAGTATCATCGCCCCGGAACGACTGCCCTATCGTCTTTCTCGAACCACCAACGCATTTAGTCATGTCCGGGGACCGTTGAGAAGACCATCTCATGGTTGTGTACTGCACCAAAGTACCACAATATGTCGAGCCCGGTGAAACTTTGATCTGGCGATTCCTATCTCGAAGCCACGCCTCGCTCAGATTGTAAAAACTCGAATTTTCCGAAACGCTCGAATCTGCGCTGAGCAGACTGTTTCGACGGAAGAGAGCCGGACTCGCCTCCCCGAATATCCGCGGTACAATCGAGGATTCCAATTTGACCTCTGCGTCGTGTCGGTGTATTCGATTCCCCCCGCTTGGACGAAATGCAGAACTCAATGAGGTCGATTGGACTTCGCAAAGACTCGTGTCTGACGGCTTCGGGAGACGTCCGCCGCGTAGGCGGGAATCTCCACCGGCAAGCTGCTGGAGCTGCGAATTGAATAACGGGAGATTGATATATTCTTCTCCGATTGTGCTTGATGGAAGGAGCGAGTTGGAGCCGAATCGACCGATGGGGGTGTGGAATACCTCAAGGGGTTTTCCAACGATGATACAAAACGTATATAGCACTCAGATACTCATAATCACCAAGGAGTCAGGAAAATTAGTCTCATCTAGCTCGAAACAATCACGCCGTGGTGCTGATCATAAGTTTATACGACGATGACAATGCTAAACTACAAGCTGATGCCGTCGACGGCTATCGCAGTAACACTTATTACTCACTATGAACAATAACATTGAACCTGTTCCGGTGATAGATGTATTCCCATTGAAATATTCATCGATTTCGATGTTGGTTTTTGACCATTTGATATACACATACCGGGAAACTGACGATATTAGCCATAGAACAGAGAACAATTGAGAAATACTCGCGAGTCAAACCTAAGAGGCTATTGACCTTCATGTAAGTGTACACACGACAAGACAAGAAATCAGTACCCATGCTTAGATACTCACCGTTAGTCATATAGTGCGGAGCAGATATCGGGACATCAGGATGCCTGCGGGAATGGGGCATACCGAGAGTCGCTATGAGTCGCTTTTTCCAGGACCAGGATGAATTTTCGAGATCATCTTGTTGTGCGATCTACCCGTCTCGACCCATGTGGAGCGGGAGTCGAAATACCGCGGGCATCCGTCGGACATCACTCGAGATCAAGCTAACCTGCAAATATACACATGTTAGAGGGAAACTACATATGTGTAGCCGGAGGTTCTAGTGATCGTCGACAAGGAGCGGAACTGAGCAAAAGACAAAATTATTTAGCTCCTTAGACAGGGCTCTTGCAAAGTGCCGGATACATAATTCATTGACGATGATTCCATTCATCACCGTATGATGCTTGGAAACTTCGGACTCGATAAGCAGAACTATGATGATATCGAATGGTGCAACTAGCCGAGTATCTTGCCATAGATCCGGTCGGTAGGAGGACGTTCATTTAGCAGTAGGTCGTTGTCTTCGATGCCGTTACGGACGACGACAGAAAGTCGTGATTGTTTGGTTTGTGCAACAAGTTGGCATTGGAACAATTGAACCATGCAAGTACTACTTACATTTATGATTGACAACCCACTGATACTATGAGTATCCCTATTCCACGCTGGACCGATTGATTCTCCGACCGATTTTACTCGCGGAATTGGCGCCGGAAATTCATTGGGGAGCTCCGGAATTTCGGAGAAGACTGACGAAGTCAATTCGGTGACTCGAGAATCGATAATTCCTGCAGTGCGTCTTGAAGACGGAATGTTGATGGGAATGGCTCGCTCGACCCTCGAGACAATATCGAATTCGATGCATAATGGACGCGATGGATGACTTGGTTTCCTGACAGGTGCATTGGCTTACTCATTGAAACAAATCCTTTCGCTTGTCTCTCTGAGCTCGGAGAGCTGTAATTGTTCTACATTGATTCGCCCTCTGTATTTTTTCCGGTGCGTGTGCACAGATGAGGCTGCTATGGGAGCCGTCAGAAGCGGAAAAGCTTTTTTTATTGGAGAAGAGAGAGCGGCGGGCAACGAACGAACCACAACCGAACTGATTGATGATGATATGATAATGAGGATAACAATAACGAAGATATTGATATTAAATGGAGAATATTGATATGAATAAAGGGAATAGTAATAATGGTGAATACTAAGAATATAGATCATGAAACAAAATGCAGTATGTTGAAATGATAGGCCCGCATAGCAAGTTGTCGTCGTCGTCGTCATCGTCGGAACTGAGCACGCGGACTGTAGGGGTCTGCTCGTCGGGTAAATTTTCGAAGTGCCAAAGTAGCACTAGAAAAAGACCGACCCACTCAAGATGGAGACTTACGAGTGTTCTCGCCGACTCACGAACAGCCCCATCGGTAGTGAGATGATACGAAGGAATTACGAGCAGGATGGAGCTATCAGAGCGGGAGATTTCCGGAGCGAGTGAATAGATAAAAGGGAACGTTGGCGTTGATGGTGCGAACCCGAGGCGAATCGAACACCTCGGCGACAATCTGTATCCTTAGTTCGACGCTCAGACTCTCGAGCGTGTGTGCTATTACGGATGCTGGCGTGAATGCGGTTCATTCGATCGAATTCTCCGAATTAGGAAAAGTGAGTTTAGAGCGACGGGACATTGGATCCATTCAGCGATACGCTCACTGGTTTTCCTTTCGAAGATTTCTTTAATTTATTGCCGTCTCTGGAATTCAATTTCATTCAAAAATCCTCGCCGCTGCTCTCACCGCTCTCGAGGAAATATTATCATCGATTTTCCGCCATGCATACCTCTCTTCACCTCTCGCAACTGATTCGATCGACCTCACGATGCGATTCGATATGATGCAGCCCCTGGTCCGCCGTCGACAACCCATCTGTGAGCAAGTGAAAGACGGGACGAAGAAACTTGGCGGAAGAAAAACTATATATTTAATAAACGATATTGCGAGTGAACTGTATACATACACTCTCGTAGGGAAGAACCATATTGTACTGCGATAGAACTTGGTACCGGGTAGCGTAGAATATCGGTGTCGGCATCTCAGTTGGAGATAATGATTTATTCGAAGTTGGCTGTTTAGCGTCCAGACGCATGCGTTGATGAGACGAGGGATTCATGTCGGGGAAGCAATTAGCCACGGCTCAGCTCATCAGAGGAGAAAGTGTACACGCCGGGGAATCTCTGACAGTGAAACCTCGGAGTAATCTAGGTCACGATTAGATCTCATCGAGACTTAGAGAGGCCCTGAAAACTGACGGGGTTGGATTTGATGGTGATGATGATGATGACGACGGATCTTGATTGGGCGATACTCAAGACGACGATTGTAACTCAAGTATTTAGGAACAAAGAAACTGAGAACAAGCGTAAAAAGGATGATCTCACGATATACCTTGTATTTCTGATATTGTTTTGGGATTTTCCCGCCAGTGTGACAGCCGCAGGTTCGCTCTCTACCCGAACTCTTTGCAAAATCCTCAAGAAATTTGGGGTCCTGCCCGGTACTTTCGGGAGCTCGAATACTGCGGGAAATCTTTGCTGCTGCATCAGTGATAGCAGTGCGATCGCCATCGATTCGGAGGCGTTGTGACGAAGATCACTC